AAGAGTGTTCTGAATGCTTACCTTAGTTAAATTTTTATAAATGTATTGTTTACTTGGTGATTGTCATTACTTCTCAGACCCTTAATTCCTTTCTTGATCATGTAAAAGTTAACCTAAGGAGGCCAGTCAGTGACATGCTGTTTGGGGCACCTGGATCCCCACTTGGCAGACTGAGCAGTATGAGTCTCAGACCAGCAACTTGAAAATTTCACTGGGTGCATGTGTGTGCATGCCCAAAATCCCAAAAAGAGAATGGAGAAGGGATTGTAGCATGGCCGGCCCTGTCTGCAGGGGTGGGGAGGATTGTTTCTCAGTTTCTCTTTCTCTCTCCCTGTTTCCCTTTGGTGAGTGTATGTGTCCTATAGCAAAAACTTAAAAAAAAAAAAAAAAGCGAAAGAGAAAGAAAAGAAAAAGTTAGCTCATGGATTTAAGGAGGAAAAAGAGTATGTAGGGTACTTTAGAAATTAGGCTCAATATGAACAAGGTGGAGCTTATGTAAAGCCAGGTCGATTTAGAAATTAGAGATACTGTAGGAAGGATTCTTTGACCTTCTAATAATTCTCCTCTCTGCTCACTTTTAAGAGAAGTTCTTGTACTTAGCAATTAAGAGATAAAACTTCAAGCTTAAATACCTCTAGAGAGAGTAAGGCTTAAAATTAAGACGAGAGCCAGTTTTTAGCCTGAGGTGAGCTAGAGAAAAAGAAAAAACACTGCATGTCTTCTGTCATTGTTTTGTTTTCTTAATGTGGGAAAGAGAGAGAGATTGACAGAGCTTTTTATTTTTTATTTTTTTTAAGTTTATACATTTTTTCCTTGAGTGAGAGACAGACAAACAGAGATAGAGACAGAAAGACAGCACCCCCAACAGACTGGTGATGCTGCAATCCACCCCCAGCCTCAGCCGAATCTGGATCACTGGCATACCAGTGTGTTCAAGGTAGTCTCCAGATACGAACCCCGAATCTTCCCATGTGTGTTAGCCTCACAGGGTGTTATGTTTTACTTCTGCCATACCAACTGGCCCTTCTGAGAGAGAGGTATTTTTTTCAAGGTCTCGCCATGCTGCGATCCATCTGCCTCAGCCTCCTAGTTAGCTAGAATGACAGGCCTGTGTGACCATGCCCAGCCTGTCTCAGGTTGGTCCTGGAACCAAATCCAAGGCTCCCAAGTGGCTCCAGCCTTGCACAGTATCACCCTACTACCTTCATCACTGGCTGGGCTGTACTGTTTCCATAGAGTTGAATGAAAGAAAATACAAAGAAATATTCCAAGAAAAGCTTTGCTTACTTCACAGTTTTGTATGATGCTGGCTACGTAAGCCCAAGAGAAATATCTACCTGAAGTCTAAGTAGATTTAGCAAATCAAATATAAGAGGTCTTCACACATTCATGGAAAATATGTATACTGAAAAAAATCTATTGATAGATTTAAAAATATTTTTGCACCAAAAGAAACTTATACTTTAATTCCATTTTTTCCAAAAC